GGGGGAGTGCCAGGCTCTACGCCTTCCTGGAAGAAGGATGACAGCACATGCTTGGAGCCTGGCTCGTCACGGTGGCCGTGCGGCTGGGTGGGGATTCCTGTTATGTCCTTGCTCGCTTGTGGAAGGGTGCCCTGCACTGCAAACTGGGTGGGAACCCCAACAAGGGCGGGCTACATTTAACCCCCTGGGTGGGACCAGAGGTGTGCGCCCAGTGGACTATTTTAGAAACCGACAGCGGCTGCGTCTACGCACAGTCACGGCAGAGGCTGGCCACCTAGTTTGAAGGAAAAGGCAGCTGACCTGTTGTCGTGGGGGTGAGTTGAAGTGCAGTAATCCGAGTGTGGATTAAAGCGGATGCTACAGGACCCGTGTATTCTGGGCTTGGACTTTTTGAGGACGTCTGGTTGCCACCTGGATCTTCGAGCAGGCACAGTGAGTTTCCGGACGGCCTGGTGATCACTACTGACCCGTATCCCACCCCTGCTGAACCTGCGGGGGGAGCACCCCCTACACACCGTGAGTACCAGAAATGAAAAGAAAAATCCTCCCTCCTTGTTCCCTTATCCCGGTGACGCCCACTCAGGGCAATTCCGCACCTGGTCATTCCCTTCCTGCTGCCACCCGATCACAGCCCCACCCCTCAGCTTACCCCAGACTGGGGTGGAAGAGCCTTCAGTCTGGCCAGTAATTGTGAGGTGTGGAGGAAAGAACTGGTGGCGGGCCTGAATTCCGAGCAATTGTGGCCAGATGGTCTTGCTAGAGGTTCCAGGGCAGTTTCGTCCACGAGTGAGGGCAGGAGGGTGGGGCCCAAAACTCATCTGGTACAAACGCATGAGATTGATACAGGGGACTTGCGGTCCCATCAAGTGTCGGCCCGCCGCCGACTGTCCACTGGGTCGTTCAGCAGGCTTGCGACGGGAGGCGTGCCAAGCATGCTGCAGCAGACATCATCGAGGCCCTCCAACAGCACCTTTAGTCATCGTCCCGAAGAAGGACAGGTGGCTGGCCGGGGGATTCATAAGGAAAGCGAGGAGGATTTTTCATACCCCCTTCCCCGCATACGACGAGTCCCTGACCTGGGTCTCAGGGTTGGTCGTTCGTTCTCTTCCTTCGTCCTCGCAGTGCCTCATTACCAAGTTCCTCTTGGCCCCAGGAGGGCCAGACCAAAAACGCATTTCTGCACCGGCCCGGGGGCTATGGCAGTTCAAGGTCCTCAGTTTGGGCCTGTAATGCCCCCTGGCCACTTTGTGCGGTTAATGGACATGGTGCTGTCTGGCGTATCCTCCGCCAGCAGGTGACTTTAGTTTACTGCTGGACGACAATCCTGGTGCCATGGCCCAGCTCTTTTGAGGCGGCCCCTGGGACTCTCTAAGGAGTTGGCTGCGGAAAGAATCAGAGCGCTAGTTTGAAGCTTACACCCGATAAGGTGCCCATTCATGCAGAGAGAGGGTCCCTTTCCTGGGCCACAAAGCTAGGCGGTGCCGAAGGCATCGGCACCTGCAAGAGAAAGCTTGCGGTGGTCGCGCGGCTGGCCAAAATGCTCGCAACCAGAACAGCTTTTTTTTTTTTTTTTTTTTTTTTTTTTTTTTTTTTTCTTTTTCTTTTTTTTTGTTTTTTGTTTTTTTTTTTTTTTTTTTCAAGGAGTTTCCTGGGCCTTCGCTTCGTACTACAGGAAGTTTGCTACGTTGTTTATTGGTTTTGCTTGCCAATGGCCTGTCTCTCACCCCTGTTCCTGTCTGCTGCATGAAGGACAGGTGATTTTTCTGTGTTCTGTGCTCTGTCATTGTCAGCTGTTTTTTCGACAGCCCTTCGGCCGTGGTCCCGAGGGGGTCTGCAAGAGGCCTGTACTCCAAGCCATGCCATGGAACGACAGGCCTCTGGCCACTTTTCTTGGGCGTCACTAAGACTCTCCGGGCCGTCACCAGACTCTCCGGCCTTCACAGGCGCCTTGCTACGGTGGACAGTGTCGGAGGGATGGTCGAAGGATTCTGTCGCGGCTGTGACTCTTGTTATGGCTCGGAAGTTCCCCCCGGTCGCTTCCCATGCTCCGCTGCAACAGTTTCCCGTTGGGGCCATGAGAGGTTAGGGTGACGCCCTACCTTGGTCAAAACAGGGGTAACCGCCTACGTCCTTCACGGCCAAAGACTATTTCACAAAGATGGCCAGAGGCGTATGCCCTCCCTGATCAGGAAGCAGTGCAGTCGTAGATGCCTTGGTGGGCCGGCATGTCAGCTGGTTTGGAGTACCGCGAGATCCCTGCACAGTGACCAGGCGCGGATCTAACTTCGAGGTCTCGGGCGTGGTTCGCCTCCATGTGCACACAACTGGGCATCACACAAACACGCACCTCCCCCTTGCGACCTCAGAGCGAGCGACCTAGTCGAGAGATTCCATCGCACCATGGGACAGCAGCTGGCCATCCTCACGTCTCAGCACCAGCACAACAGGGACGAGCATCTGTCCCTTGTGCTCATGGCATGTCGCTCTGCAGTCCAGGTGTCCTCAGCCTGCTCTCCTGCCCTCCTCATGTTGGGGAAAGAGCTTCGAACCCCTGCTGTTTTGGCATTTGGTCAGTCGCCAGATTCCCTGGGCATGCCTCCAGGGCCTGAGTACGCCAGGAGACTTCAGGACTGCCTTGGTTCCGCTCACGCCTTTGCCCGCGATCAGCAGAAAAGTGCTGGGGTGAGACAGAAACAAAACTATGACACCAGGACAAGAAGGCAGCACTTCCGGGCCGGGGAGCTGGTCTGGGTCTACAGCTCACAATGGAAGAAAGGCCGGTGCCCAAAACTGGACAGCCAGTGGGTTGGTCCCTGCAGAGTACTGGAGAGGGTGGGGGAAGTGGTCTACAGGGTGCAGCTGCCTCCCAAGGGGAGAAAAGTTGTACTCCACAGAGACAGGTTGGCTCCTTACAGAGGAGTCGCTTCTCCACATGCCCAAGGGACACCGGGGCCCACAGCCTCCCCCTCGACACCTCCACTCAGGTTCCCCGGCGAGCAGAGCAGCAGCCCCCTGTCAGTGTCTCAGTTTCCCCCCACTTTCTTCCCCTTTTCCCCGCCTGGACCAGAACCGGCACCCCCTGTCCCCAGCCCCCCTGCCGAGAAGGCAGACACGACTCCCGAGTCGGTTCAGAGACTGTGTGTGGTAGTTAGAGTGTATAGTGAGACCCCTCGTTTCCTGTAGAGGGAACGAATGCGCCCTGGTCTCACTGGAAGGGATGGTAGTCCACCCAGACCTACCTAGTTCTACGAACAGTGTTTAGTTATAGTTTTTTTGTGCTAGGTTTTATTTTTTCCTCGTGGGCGAGGTAGGGGGGTAGTGTAGCGACCCTGTATTGGGTGCTGAGTGTGTCACTCAATCATCCCCCGTCTCTCTGCCAATCACAGAGCTGCACAGTAGGGGTGTAACGGTACACGTACCAAAATTATTAGGATTGTAAAATCCTAACGATACCCATCCCTACCTGCAACCTAACATGTAACCTGTGTCCGTGTGCGAACAAAGGAGTGAATAAACCTCCGACTCCCTTTGTAGAACGTTACAATAATCTGCTGCAACATTAACAAAAGCTTTTATTTAAGCAAAAATGTTTGAGTTTGATTAATTAAATCCAAATTGTGCTCCTTCTTGTTTGGTTCACCCAATAAGTGCAACATAATAAGTGTGATACGTGTAAAGATACGTGTTGGTAGTTACAAACTCCTCCATTGGCATCCTTTTTTTTATAGATGTAAATTAATATACATCTTCTGATATTTGGCTATCATTATTCTGTTGTGTTGACCAGAGATTACATATCAAAGTCTTAACATCTTTAGCTTTTGTGTCAAAAGGTGGTTCTCTTAATAATTTACTATCGATAAAACGACTTCAGCATATAAAAAGGTAAAAAAGTAATAGATCATAACCTTGAACTAAGGAGAGAGTGGTGAGAGGCTATGGTGCTGTACAATGTCTGTCACATTCACACAAGAACAGGAGAGCATGTTTGGACATTCAGTAAAAGGTGATGAAGCGGAAACCCAGTGTGCAGTAAGGTCATGTTAGTGTCTGCACCCTGCTGGGCCTCCAGGACACTGAGGACCAGAGGTTGGACTGTGCTGGTAGCCATCAGGATGCAGAGAGACACATTATTATTTATTTTATGATGTGACAAACCAGCAGCCAGGAAACACTTCAAATATCCGCTGTAGTCTGCTGCTGCATGCTGTATGAAGGGTTGAAACATCTCCATGTCATCATTTCACATCCCTCTACTGAAAGTCTGACATAATAATAATCAAATTATACGCATGACAGTCGATCACTTAAAACTGTTCACACAGGAGCCCCCAAGCACTACAACATCCTACCACCAGCTGTCATATGCCTTGCTCAGAGACACTACAATCTGATGGCAAATTCTCCATCACATTTCCCTGCTCTGGTTCCTCCAAAGAAAGGATTCAAACCAGAAGCACTCAAACCAAAAGCTTATCCGTTCAACCACCAGATAGCCTCTTTAATTGGATATGGTGATACCTCACATGTAGGAAGAAGAATATAAAGAAGAATGCTTTGTGATGTATTTATAAGATTATTTGCAATGATCCGAGTTTTGGACACACTGCTGCCATAGAGAACTACTGCAGTAAAATACAGCAAAGAAAAAAGACAAATTGGTGCTTTAATCAGCATTCTCTCTGCATGTTAAAGCAATTAAAATCAAAGCATGTTCCTATATGTAATGCTGTATGTGTGCATTGTTAATTGTAAATGGAGATTAAGCATTTCCTGGCACAGACTGATC